AAGGTCTGGACACCATCCACTGACGGAGTGGGACTTGGTCCACGAACGCCTGAGGTGTGATTATAGATAATCCGACAGCAATAAAATAAAGAACAGTATCAGAACTACAATAACAGTAAACAGTGAAATAAAACACATAGGATAATGAAACGAACATAATGTCATCAATGATATAACTCTCATTAATAAGAATAAGCTGCACTGATGCCACATATTTGTTCCGTGATAATGGTAACTACTAATGACCATAATGTAAATAATATATATAGTATTGTGCTTGTGTTTTGTCCGTTCGCACAGTTACTTATGGAATCATTTTTATGTGACTTGAGAATTCAAGTCGCAATATTTTGATGCACTACGAGCACATTACGCCTGAAAACTTATTTCATGTGACTGGGGCGTTAAAGTCACTATGTTGTATGTAAAATGGGGTGATAATTGACAGAGAAAATATATAATAGCACACGCGCACACACATTAAGAGACATCATCTTAAGAATCACTTACAATCCTATTCCACCTCTATCATCATTATTATATAACTGTTATTATTATTGTTATTATTGTGATTACTACTGTTACTATTATCATTTTCATTTTCCTTCGAGGCAAGAACACTGCACTAAAGTAGGTAGACCGTCAGTTCATGCATACTTACTGCTTCCATGACAATCTAAGGAGGGGAAGGAGTAAGGGAGGGGGAGAAGTAAATGGGCTTATAGAAGAAGTGGGGAAGGGAGAAAACGAGGGGGGGGGGGGAGTCTTAAGAAAAGAAAAGGAGGGGACTTGCAGAGGAAAGGGAGAAGGGAGAGGGGAAATGGGGGATGGGGGAGGAGGAAAGGGGATAGGGTGGTGAAGGCGATGGGGGAGTTTAAGGAGGAAGAGGAAGGGATTGGCAGGGGGCAAATGTAGGGCTTAAAGTAGGAAGGGAGGAGTAAATTTAAGGGAAAGGAAAGGTAGAGGTAGAGGGAGAGGAAAAAGGAAAGAGGAGCCGAGAGGTAGATGAAAGGGGGGGGGGGAGAGAGAAATGTTTTATGGGAATATTTGTTATTTCGTGTTTGCTAGATACACAAATGGATTCCTTTTCATGACTGCAACTAGAACTTAATGTCATAAAAAATATAGTAATAGCTAATGGAATACTCGTCTCTCTGTATGTGAAATGACACACCGTGTTCTCTATAAAGTAACATGAAGCTGACATTATTTCCTTATCATTATTAGTATTACAATCATATTAACAATTACTCTTATGATTTTAGTTTTTACATTACTGGCAAGTCCTGAGACATTTGTTGTAAAATCTTTTTCATATTTTTTGTGGTATAATTTTTATTCCACTTAAAATTTCGTGGTATTATAAATATACACTTATTTTTTAAGAATTAGCATTGCAACTTGACTTATATTTGGAAAAACTTCCATATACATTCTTGTTTTTTTTTCGTGTCCAGTATCTTTCACATAAGATTTTATAATTTTTAGGCTTTTCCAAACCGTAGGACAGATCTATATTCATTTGGAAAATCTTTATTTTTTCTTGTGACCAGGAAACAGGCAGTAAATAGATCAAAATGGAAGTATGTGTCTTGATGTTTTCAAGAGTTATAACATATATTTGCAAATTATGCGTGTATAAATACATATGCATGCTAGTGCAAACGTTATATACATATATGCAAACAAAAAAATATACATATATAAATATAAATATATAAGTATGTATATATGTATGTATACATGTACATAAACCTATGGGTCTTATTGAAGATGAAAAAACTATAGGAAAACGACCGAGAATGAAACAGAAGAAAAAAATAAAAATAAAATAAAGGCAAAAAACTATGCGAAGATAACAGGGAAACTAATATAAGTAACTCAATTTCCTATATAGTACACTTAGCGTTATAATTATTATTCCCTAACAGCTTCATTCCACCAAATGTCGAAATGACTCTCTCCCCATTATTCCCAGTGACGTCACGCCTTGCAATGTGGGGCGGACCTTCGAGTATATAAGCCGTAGGCAACCTCTGGTAGGTACAATTCTCAATCGTCTTCCTTGGCAGAAAGATGACTTTCAAGGTAAATTCTCCATAAAGTCTGTTATCGCTTCATACACACATATGTGTATGCATATATACACATATTTTTTTTTCTTAGTTCCTCTAAAATAAGGAGATATATGTTACCATTCTGATCATTTGCAGATTGCTGTATACGTTGCCTTGTTGGCTGTTGCTCTTGCTGACTCTGGCCCTAGATACAGTCCTCCTACTCCTTCCTACAGTCCTCCTCCTCCAACATACAACGCCCCTGCTCCAGCCCCTTCTGTAAGTTGTCAGTGAGTTTAAAGAACATATACACACATATGTATATATATGAACATATATATATTGCTACCGAGTATATTCTATTCATTTGTTATTTTTTCCTCCTCTTCATTAGGGACCAGCACAGTACGACTTCAACTATGCTGTGAAGGACGACTACTCTGGAAACGACTTCGGTCACCAAGAAAGCCGAAACGGATATGACACTCAGGGTACCTACTACGTCCAGCTTCCTGATGGTCGTCTGCAGACGGTGACCTATACCGTAAACGGCGACTCCGGTTACGTAGCTGAAGTTTCTTACCAAGGAGAAGCCCAGTACCCAGCCCAGGAGCCTTCTAGGTCCTACCAACCAGCTCCTTCTCCATCCTACCAACCTGCTCCCACCCCTGCCTACGGCTAATCTTTCACATCGATACACTAGATCCTGTAAAAAGAATATGCCTTTAATTGTAAATAAAATACTTTGTTTCATTATTATGTTTTATGAATTCAGAATAACCTTTTCCACATATGAAATACAAAAGCACCAAAGAAAATAAAGAGACATTAAACGAGGAGCAAACGCAATGCAGTGTAACTGCAACAATGAAAATGACGGATAATGGTAACGAAAACATAAATATTGTTATAAAGACATACATACATATATATGCATATACATGCATATACATACATGCGGAAATATATTAATATACATGCATATACATTCATGCGGATATATATGCATATACATACATGCGGATATACATGCATATATGTATATATATATATATATATATATATATATATATATATAAACATGTAGATATATGCATGTTTATGTATAAACATAGACACATATGTATGTATATCAATAGTTAAATATATATATAGAGAGAGACAATACTATGAGTACGCATACACACATGTACATACACACAAATATGTGTGTATTCATATATGTTATATATATATGCTTACGCACATATACTTACATGTATATACATGTTTACATTTATCTAAAGTTATATTTATATATGTGTATACGTATGTATATATATCTTACATAATATATATACACATGTATATATATTATGTACTTTATATATATATATATATATATATATATATATACATGTATATAGATAGTTGCATTCGCACACACACATATATATATAAGTTTGTATACATATGTACACATATTTACATATATAAATGTTTATATACACAGGCATATATGTGCAAATTTATCTATTGTTATATATTTATATCTTTACATGTATATATATTTTGTAATCTTCATATGTATATGTATACATATACGTATACAAATAGTTGTATATATATATATATATATATTTACACACACACGCACGCACATGTGTAAGTGATTCACTTTCAGTTTGAAGATGCTTGCCACTTATTGTCTGTCTGCTCTAATAAAAAAACTGTTAACTTAAGCACTGAACAACTTCTGACCCTATAGAGTATAATTAGCTATTCACACATTTTTGTTTTCATATTAAAGGCAGTTGTCTTGCAGCTATTTCTAGCTGACAATAGGTATTGTGATTTTGTTAGATGTGCGATTGTCATTTTGATAGTACCTTCCTAGGTTTAGAGAGGGCATTTATAATGGCTTTAGAAATGCTCTTTACATTTGAAATAGGGATTTTCATCACATAAGAAGAGGTTGTATGATTTTTTTTTTTTTTTTTTTGTGAATTTTGAGTCTTTCTTCTTCCATACAGATTCACATATAGATAAATCTCTGGCGCACTTTTGAGTCTATTTTCATCAGTTGACATTTTGGACAAATTTCACATCTTTCAATTTTAGGCTTTAAATGTATTTGTTAACTTCTCTGTGCTCACTTGAGAATCCTTCCTGACTTTACTATAGATTTACAGACTGTCGCTGGAAATCTAGAATTCTTCTCGCAGTTTGGTATTATTGTTAGACAGATGCACACACACACACACATATTATATATATATGTATGTATATATTGCACATATATACATATATATATTGTATATATATATGTTGCATACTTGCACAGACACACACATACAATATGTATATATCTACATGTATATGTATACATACATACACATCTATGTGTGTGTATTATGTGTATATACACATATATACATCTATTACATATATATTATATATATATCACACACATACATATGTATATATATGTTTGTGTATATATGTGTGTATATGAGCGTTTATATATACATAATTTATAGATATGACATATAGATACATATATATTTATGCATATTTACATTTATATATATGGAGAACATTCACAGACCTGCATGCATACATATACAATATAATACACACATACAGAGATAAATATACACATAAACTGAACTTGAGACCTATGAGAAAATAAAAGACTATGAAATAAATGGGAGAAAGAAGGACAAATAGAACACTAGAAAAAAAAAACAAAAAACAACAACAAACAAACGAGAACGTCGTGTATGGGAAACTAGGAAGTGCATATCTGATAATCATCATTTAACAAATCCACTCTGCTTAACCTCGAAAATGACCATTTCCTCTTCTTCCCCTGTGACGTCACACATTGCAATGTGGGGCGGACCCTCGCGTATATAAGTCGTAAGCAACATCTGGCCGGCACCATTCTCTCTCGTCTTCCAAAGCGTAAAAGATGACTTTCAAGGTAAGTTCACCACGAAGTCTATTGTCCACACACACATCTATTCAAAATAAGTTTTCCAGAAAGGTTATTTTGAAAATGACGTGATTTCTTCGGATTCTCCCAAATAAGATGAATTATTTTACCACCCTGGTCATTTACAGGTTGCTGTATTCGTTGCCTTAATGGCCGGTGCCCTTGCCGACTCTGCTCCTAGATATAGTCCTCCTACTCCTTCCTACAATCCTCCCGCTCCTACATACAATGCCCCTGCACCCGCCCCTTCGGTAAGTTGTTAAACAAATTTTGAATGCAATAGTTCTAATAGGAAAGTTGGAACATCATAAAAATGTACTTGTATGGTTGTTTCCCTCATCTTATTTAAACAGGGACCTGCTCAGTACGATTTTAACTATGCCGTGAAAGACGACTACTCCGGAAACGACTTCGGTCACCAAGAAAGCCGAAATGGATACGACACTCAGGGTACCTACTACGTCCAGCTTCCCGATGGTCGTCTGCAGACGGTGACTTACACCGTAAACGGCGACTCCGGTTACGTAGCTGAAGTTTCTTACCAAGGAGAGGCCCAGTACCCAGCCCAGCAGCCTTCTAGGTCCTATCAACCCGCTCCTACTCCATCCTACCAGCCTGCCCCCTCCCCATCATACCAGCCTGCTCCCACCCCTGCCTATGGTTAATCTTTTGTAGTAATGTGCAAAAACGCAAAGAAGTTTAAACAAAGATTGTCTGTTTGTAAATAAATATAATGGAAGGTTAAGCATATCTAACTACTGCCCCCCCCCCAAAAAAAAAAAAAAAAAATCGCCAATTTATAATTTAGGTTTAGGTAACAGGTACTTGTGATTTCATTCATATTACGTGCTTTTAAGTTACCTCCTGTGTGCAAAGAAAGGTCTGGTCACCATCCATTGACGGAGTACTCCGGGACTTGGTCCACGAGAATGCCTGAGGTGTGATTATAATCTAACAATAATGGTATAAAGAACAGTAAATAGTGAAATAAAACAATTATAGGATAATGAAACGAACATAATATCATCAATGATATAACTCTCATTAATAAGAATAAACTGCACTGATACCACATATTTGTTCTGTGATAATGGTAACTACTAATGATCATAATGGAAATAATTTATATAGTATAGTGCTTGTGTTTTGTCCGTTCGCATAGTACGTTTGAAAATTATACCTATACCGTGAACGGCAACTCTGGTTATTTAGCTGAAGTTTCTTACCAAGGAGAAGACCAATATCCAGCTCGGGGGCCTTCTCCATCCTACCAAGCTGCCCCGTCCCCATCCTACCAAGCTGGTTCCACCCCTGCCTATGGCTATTTTTTTTATACTGTCATACAAGACCCTGTGAAGTTTGAACCAAGAATGTGTGTATGAATGTAAATAAAATGTGATGTTGAACAGTATTTGCAAAGCCTTCATGGAATCTAGCATATACATACCCGTAAATGTTATATATATATATATATATTTTTTTTTTTTTTTAGCGTAGCAAGATTATCTCAAATTTACGATGGTAATTTCAATTTCGTCAATTTTCCAAATTCAGCATTAACATAATCAGGTGCACTAATGCCTCAATAGTCATGAGATGTTGAAACAACACTGTGTCATTCACAAATTAGCTTTACACTTAATAAAGTTAAGTTATCATGATCATTACTGTATATTTTTTAAATGCGAGTATCATTGTAATAATAATAGATGTAATAGTAAAAATAGCCTTGATAATAATAATTTCATAATAATTATAATTATCTTTATTAATATATTACTAAAAACATTACTAGTATATCACTACTAATAATTATCATTATTACATCAATTCTATGTCGGCGACAGGATCAGAACCACCACCATTGTTATCGATACTGTTATTATAATTATTATTATTCCAGGCATACAATGCGAATAAAATGAGACAGAAGATAACTTATAATGAAATATAAAGAGACGCAATGAAAGAGAAAGAGAAAAGTACCACTAGGAAAAGAAAAAGAAAAACAAAAGTGAAAGAGATGCGATAATGTTTCCCACATAGCACAATTCTACTACACCTTTTTCTTTTTATTCCCAGTATCATTACACCATACAGTGTGGGCGGACCTACCTCTGGTCGACACCATTCCTTTTCTACTCAAACGAATAGGTTGCTTCATTCTTGATTATTGATGTTTATTTGCATTATTTTTCCATCTTTTATCTTCATTTATCTCTTAATTATGGATCTGCCCAATAGGACGTCAACTAAAAAGACGAATACTCCGAAATGATTTCATTCACTAAGAAAGCCGAAACAAGGTACTTACTGCATCCAACATCACGGTGGTCGTCTGCAAACGATGACTTCCACCATGACGACGACTCAGGCTACATTGGAGCTTCTTCAAGGAGAAGCCTTCATCTTATCAGCTTGCTTCTATTTCTACCTGCGGTTAATCTTTTATACATGTACCAGAAACAACATGTATTCCTGTATATAATATACATACATATGTATATATATCTACACACACACATAGATATAGATATGTATATGTACATATTGAAACACACACATATATATATATATATATATATATATATATATATATATATATATATACACACACACACACATCTATCTATCTATAAATGTGTGTACATATATATACATATATGCATATATATATATATATATATATATATACCTATAAATATATACACATACACGCACGCACGCACGTACGCACACACGCACGCGCGCACACACACATACATATATAGAGAAGTGCTAATTCAATTATGTAATATGTAATGGTAGAGGTGGTTGCTGTCCATTAACTTTCTGCTCTAATAAGTTTGGGTGTAAACAATGACCACATTCTGACTCAGGAAAGACCTTGAGTTTGTATTTGAGAAGTTTTTTTCATTATTATTACTAAATAAGAAGATATAACTATTTGAGTTGATTTTAACGCTCCCGTATTAGAGCTTAATGATTTTACCTTCATTTAGATACTTTGTTACAATTTTGAATATATTGGTATTTCAGATTCAGATTCCTTTTAAGTAACAGGTTTCAATTTATCTTTACTTTCCTACAGACTTAAAATATATAAAGGTATTTAAATTACATCAATTTTAATTTTCTTGCACTACTCGCCACTACTACAGACAATTAGGTATCCTTTATTTTACAATTTATATTTTAATATTATAAAAAAAAAATCTTAGCCATTTATTTAAGACCTTCCCATACAACAGCAGTAAATTTATCTTTAAAAAATGTTTCTAAATACCCGAATTATGGTATAAAATAAAAAAATATAATTATGTTGAAGAATCAGGTAATAGCGCAAATGTGATATCATGAAATAAAACATATTAAATATATTATTATCAAAGCTGACTGCAAATTTTAGACACACATGTACTGCAAATATATCTATATGTATAGCTATCTATATATGTATATATGATATAATACATATATATTCATGTAATATACATGTATATATGTATATATACATACATATTGTATGTATGTAGTGTCTACAAACACATACATACATACACACTATATATATATATGTATGAGTTTGTATGTTTATGTAATCTATGTATGTAGTTATTATATTTATATGTAGTATAAACACATGTATATATATATATATTGAACTATCTACATACACATATATATGTGTTGTTAACATAAAGATTATAAAGGGATAAAAGAAAGGAAAATAATATGAAATACAAAGACATGGAACACGGGAAAGAAAAAAAGAGTAGAGAAAATGCGAGAAAAGGGGACATAAAAGGTGACAGTAAGAATTGCCTGTATGTGATCCTGTATTCCTTAAGAACTCCACTCTACTTAGCCTTGAAAATAATTTCCTCTTCTTCCCCAGTGACGTCATGCGATGTGGGCGGACCTTTGTGTATATAAGCCGTAAGCACCCTCTGGTCTGTACCACTCTCACTCGCCTTCTAAAGCGTAAAAGATGACTTTCAAGGTAAGTACTACAAGAGGACTCTTGTGCATTTATATATATACCGTTTATATATGTATATATATATATATATATATATATATATAAATAGGTGTTAAATAATGCCATTTCGGTAATTTACAGGTTGCTGTATTCGTTGCCTTAATGGCAGGTGCCTTAGCTGACTCTGGCCCTAGATACAGTCCTCCAACACCTTCCTACAATCCTCCCGCTCCTACATACAACGCCCCTGCACCCGCCCCTTCGGTAAGTTGTTTAATAAATCGTGAGAAAGAGTTATTTAATGGCAAAGCTAGATCATTAAATTTTGCATGTCGTATTGTGTCCCTCATTTTTCTTCATCCTTCCCTAAATAGGGACCTGCCCAGTACGACTTTAACTATGCCGTGAAGGACGACTACTCCGGAAACGACTTCGGTCACCAAGAAAGCCGAAATGGATATGACACTCAGGGTACCTATTATGTTCAGCTTCCCGATGGTCGTCTGCAGACGGTGACTTATACCGTAAACGGCGACTCTGGTTACGTAGCTGAAGTTTCTTACCAAGGAGAAGCCCAGTACCCAGCCCAGGAGCCTTCCAGGTCCTATCAGCCCGCTCCTGCTCCATCCTACCAGCCTGCCCCCTCCCCATCCTACCAGCCTGCTCCCACCCCTGCCTATGGTTAATCTTTTGTACTAATGTGCAAAAAGTAAGAAAATGAACAAAGATTGTCTGTTTGTAAATAAATATAATGAAAGGTTAAACATATCTAATTACTCCCCCCGCCCCCCGAAAAAAAAAAAAAAATAGCCTGCTCCCACCCCTGCCTATGGCTAAACTTTTATACTGATATCGAAGCCCCCTAAAACTGGTATAAAATGTATGTATATGATTGTAAATAAATTATATTCTAAATAGTAAAGCATGTTTCAAAATTAACGAAGAAGCTTCATCAATGAATTAAACTGGTAATCATAATTTTACATCAACAAAAATTAAAACAGAAGTACAGCAACAATAAGTACATTGACTATTAAAGACCACGATATCCAAAGAAATAATGATTATGAAAATGATAATTAATAGAAAAAAAATGATACTCTCGTTTTATGTTAACGATGAGGATAATGATGAGATAAAATGAAGGATATTATTAGTATTAGCTTTTCTGTTAGCTTTATCTCTCTATCTCATATACGCATTTATATATATATATATATATATAAATGTATGTATATGTATATACGCACACACATTCACGCACATATACAAATATAAATATGTATAATTATGTATATGTATTTGTACATATAGAGATATGTTCACACATATATGTCTATATGTATTTTTAAATATATAGATATACATATATATTTATATAAACACACACATATACTGTACCTATATATATGTCGGTGTAAAAGTCTTTTTCTGAAGCCAAAAAATATTTCACCAAAACCAGGGGCCGACTTGTTCGCCGAATGTTAAAAATGCACTATGGGATAGACAAGTAAAACTGTCTGCCAAACACTGTATACCATTTCTTATTACTCTCGCAGCCCATAATTTTAAACAATCAGTCAATCTCATAGCCCACCACAGTTATTTTCTACTGAAACTAATATCTAATAAATCTGTTTAACATAGAGATTATAGTAATATCAATGAATTAACTCAATGGGCAGGTTAGGTTAGTTATGGTTAGGTTAGGCATAATTACTAGACTAAAGTGTTTTAGATTAAATGTGTCTTAAAGTTCTATGTGAGTTGCTCTTTTTTATCAATAGAATTCGGTAAGAAGAGCTGATATATATATAGATATACATACACACATATATAGGTATATACAGATATAATAATATATTTTTTCGTTTTATCCAGCGAGTATAGTATTAGGGGTTGACTTATGTGCTTATGTGACTCGTGCAATGGCATATACGGCACACACACAACTATATACGCATACATATTGGAGACTAGAGCATTTATATTTTTGCTTGGAGCCTTTTTTTCACATTCATATTCTTAGCTACTCTTAGGTCTTTTTCATACTGCCTCATGATTTTTATTATATATCATTATCATTATATATCATATTATTATATAATTATAATGTTATCATTATCAGTGTTATTTTACTCGCTAGATTTAGTCTTGCTGTGGTATATTTAAAAAAATCTTTTTTTGGCTTTCATATTATTTTTTTTTACTTTTTTGGTGTTTGGCATTTCCCTACACCTATTAGGACAATTTTCATTTGTACTGCGGGTTTACATTTTTATTATTCTGTTTATTTACAAACTTTTGTGCACTGCAACCACTCACTCTTTCACTCTCACACATTTACATAAATACTTATGCATATATATCAGTATCTATTATATATGATATACATGTATGCATGAGTATATATTTGTGCATTTGTTGAACGGGCGCGTTATGTGTATGTGTAGACAGAAATAATATGAACACTGATAAATGCACAGGGAAGATAAAAGCGGAAGGAAATGTGAAAAAGGTAAATAAGAAAAGAATTCGCTTTACAGTACAATTGGGTTTTTCATCACCATTCTTCACTGGCAACATCAGTCAACTTGAACTTCATTCCCAGTGAGGTTACGCAAGGGCTTGTGGGCTGATCTTCGAGTATATAAGCCGCAAGCAACCTCTGTTCGGTACCATTCTCGCTCTTCTTCCAAGACGTAGACAATGTCTCTCAAAGTGGGTTTCCTATAAAGATATTGTGTTTGCAAGATATTTATCCATTACCATACCGAAAAGGGTTGTGGTACAAGTACAAACTTATTTCTCTCATTTACAGGTTGTTGTATTTGTTGCCTTAATGGCAGGTGCCCTAGCTGACTCTAGCCCAAGATACAGTCCTCCTACTCCTTCCTACAGTCCTCCTGCACCTACATACAACGCCCCTGCACCCGCTCCTTCGGTAAGTTGATGGCTTGGATAAAATTCAAAGAACTTTAATGACTAAAGACTCTTTATTATCATTATTATTATTATATTTTTTTAGGATTTTTCGTTATTTTTTTGTTCTTCTCTAAACTAAGGACCTACCCAATACGAGTTCAAAGTTGGAATATTAAATTTTGCTTGCATTGTTTCTCTTATTTTTCTTCATCCTTCCCTAAATAGGGACCTGCCCAGTACGACTTTAACTATGCCGTGAAGGACGACTATTCCGGAAACGACTTCGGTCATCAAGAAAGCCGAAATGGGTACGACACTCAGGGTACCTACTACGTCCAGCTTCCCGATGGTCGTCTGCAGACGGTGACCTACACTGTGAACGGCGACTCCGGTTACGTAGCTGAAGTTTCTTACCAAGGAGAAGCCCAGTACCCAGCCCAGCAGCCTTCCAGGTCCTATCAACCCGCTCCTGCTCCATCCTACCAGCCTGCCCCCTCCCCATCCTACCAGCCTGCTCCCACCCATCCTACCAGCCTGCTCCCACCCCATCCTACCAGCCTGCTCCCACCCCGGCCTACGGCTAATCTTTTATGCTGATATCGAAGCCCCCCTAAAATTGTAATGAAATATATGTATATGATTGTAAATAAATTATGTTTTAAATAGTGAAACGTGTTTCAAAGTTCTCGATGAAGCTTTATCAATGAATTAAATTGGTGATCATAACCTTACACAGCAAAAATGAAACAACAGAAGTACAGCAACAATTAGCACATTTACTATTGAAGAACAAGATATTCAAACAAATAATAATTATGAAAATGATAATTAATAGAAAAAAAAATATTGATACCCGTTTTCTGGTAATGATGATAATGATAATGCTAACATAAAACGAAGGGCATTATTAGTATCAGCTTTGCTATTATCTTTATCTCTCAATCTGAAATGCACATTTATATACATATAAATGTATATATTCATGTATATACATACACACATCATCACGCACATATATAAATATATATGAATAAATGTGTATATGAATATATATAAATATATGTATTCACACAGACATATATGTATGTAAAAATATATGTATGTACGAGTATATTTTTTACATATACAAATATACGTATATATATACATAAAGCACACGTATTATATATATATATATATACCCCCAAAAATAGTTTATCAAACAAGGGGCCGACTTGTATGCCGAATGTTAAAAATTAACCTAGCACTATGTGATAGACAAGTGGAACTGCCTAACACTGTACACTATTTCATATTACTCTCGCAGCCCATTATCTTAAATCAATCAATCTCACGGCCTGCCAGTTATTTCCTGCTGAAACTCAATAAATTTGTAAACGTTGAGATTATAATATCAATAAATTATAATATTAATGAATTAACTCAATGGGTAGGTTAGGTTATTTAAAGTTAGGTTTGGCATGTTTACTGTGTTAAATCTCTGTTAAATGTGTTGTAGGATGAACGTGTCTTAAAGTTCTATATGAGGTAACTTTTTAAAAAATATATACAATAGAGGTTGGTAAGAGGTGATATATATATACATATATTCATACAGATATATTTTTATATTTTTTCGTCTTATCCATTGAACATAGTACTAAAACTACATTACACATCAACATTTTAGGAGCGGACTCGTACAGTGGCATATACAACACACACACGCACACACACTCACATTTATTTATACATATATATTGGAGATTGGAGACTAGAGCATTTAAATTTTTGTTTGGAGTCTTTTCACTTTCTAGAAGGGAATTTCATTTTCTGTGCTATTGCTAGCTACTCTTAGGTCTGTTTTTTCATACTGCCTCATTTCTTTTATTGGCACGATTACCATAATCATTATCGTTATAACTGCTATTATCATGTCATCATTATCAGTATTATTTTACAAAGTTGATTTAATATTCTTTGCTTAACAGTCATGTTTCAGGTAATTATTACTGTTATTTTTTCTCTTTTTTTTGACCTTCATGATACTTTTTTTTCTGTTTGACACTTATTTGGGCAATTTTCATTTACATTTTCCTTATCCGACTTGTCACTCAAATTTATTATTCTGTTTATTTACAAACAAACTTTAGTGCACTGCCACTTTCTCTTTCTCACACATGTAGATATACATATATATGTATGTAGGTATATATATGTATGTGTGAGCGCGCGCATTGTTTATGTGTAGACAGAAAGAGATACAGATTGATATGAACATTGATAAATGCAAGTTCGAAGATAAAAACGGAAGGAAATGTGAGAAAGAAAGGTAAATAAGACAACAAACAATTCACTTTACAGTGCAATTGGCTTTTTTCTTATCACTTTTTTTTACGGGCAACTTCAATCAACTTGAACTTCTTTCCCAGTGACGTTACGCAAGGGTTTGTGGGCTGATCTTCGAGTATATAAGCCGCAAGCAACCTCTGTTCGGTACCATTCTCTTTCCAAGACGTAGACAATGTTTCTCAAGGTGGGTTTCCTATAAAAAGTATTGTGTTTGCAAGATATTAAACTATCTCCATACCGTAAAAGGTTGAGACGTAAGTACAAATTTATTTTCATTTACAGGTTGCTGCTTTTGTTGCCTTAATGGCTGGTGCCCTTGCTGACTCTAGCTCAAGATACAGTCCTCCTACTCCTTCCTACAATCCCCCTGCACCTACATACAACGCCCCTGCACCCGCTCCTTCGGTAAGTTGTTAATAACTTAAATAAAATTAAAAACTTTAATTACTACTGAAACGGGATTTTTTTTCTTTACTTATTTTTTATTCTTCCCTAAACTAGGGACCTGCCCAATACGACTTCAACTATGCTGTGAAGGACGACTACTCTGGAAACGACTTCGGTCACCAAGAAAGCCGAAACGGATACGACACTCAGGGTACCTACTACGTCCAGCTTCCCGATGGTCGTCTGCAGACGGTGACCTATACCGTGAACGGCGACTCCGGTTACGTAGCTGAAGTTTCTTACCAAGGAGAAGCCCAGTACCCAGCCCAGGAGCCTTCTAGATCGTACCAACCCGCGCCTTCTCCCTCCTACCAGCCCGCTCCCTCCCCATCCTATCAGCCTGGTCCCACTCCTGCCTACGGCTAATTTTTTTTTTTATAATTAATCTTTTCTATCAGATCTATTGTAGCTGAACGATATGTATGTAAATAAACAATTAATTCAAAACAGTATTATGTTTAACCTATATCGAACGAGTACTTTCACCGAACTATGATAATGACAAAGACAAAAATAGCAGAGAGAGGAAATAGTCTCAAAATACAGAAATCTACCGGAAAGTTTTAATAGATACACCCATTTTCCATGGATGTGAGGAAACGTCTACATAAGATAGTATGCCGGTAATAAGTGATCATAACAATATAAAAAATAGTAATAGTGATAAGATGATACTGACATGACAAAACAGTGCAAACATAATGATAGGACGGATGCAACCACTCTCTTGCATTGAGAACGGATCGTAGTGGGATTGATTTTGAAACCTTTAATTTTCGGTGCCAGAGTGTACTTTTGCTTTTGAATATTTGACCAGTGCTGCTCCGGTTTGATAGGAGGCTTACCATATTCATTATTATATTCTTTATATTATATATTCACAAAACTTTAATGTGTCAGTCTCCCAAATTAATTCCTTATTTGTCTAAAATACATATTTTTACTATTATATAATCTAGTGTGGCTTTTTCTTTTGATTTCAGTGATAAACTTATTAAATTGTGTGATTATATATAATGTATGTATGAATAAGATTTCATATAAATATATTTATATGCAAATATATACACATATAAAAAATATATATGTATTCATATATTTATGTATATATACATATATATGTATATGTTCATATATATATATATATTTTTTTTTTTCAACAGCCATTCATTCCACTGCAGGACATAGGCCTCTCTCAATGTAATATTGAGAGATTATATGGCAATGACACCCTTGCCTGATTGGATGCCCTTCCTAATCAACCGCGGTTCGGCGCGTTAACACTTGTGCCACGGCGGTGACTTCCCCTACGACACCTGCGTTTGACTTCTCAAGGCGATATGTCGTTTTCTCGGGCTCGAGCCAGAAGTCAGAGCGCAGGCATTTTTACGACCGCCGCGACGGGGAATTGAACTCGGGACCACGAGGGTCGGAGTCCAGTGCTCTAACCACTGAGCTATCGCGGCAGTCATATGTTCATATATGCATATATATGTGTATATATATACATAGACATACGTGTGCGAGTGAGTGTGTATGTGTAGATTTATATATATGTATACTTACAATGATATGAATTTATACAAATAAATTTAACAATATATCTATTTATCTATATATGTATATATACATGTAATATATATATATATAAATATATATGCATATATATATACATATATGTACATATACATACTATTTGTGTGTGTGTAGTGTCTAAAATACAAACATACGTGTGGTTATATATATATATATGTGCATACATGTCGAAATGCATGCATATATATATATATATGTGTGTATGAGTTTGTGTTTATATAATTTATGTATGCAGATATATGTATATGTAATATGAAACACGCATTTATACACATTTCTAAGCATACACCACATATGTTCGTACACATATATATATACATACATGCATACATATAGATGTATATATATAAAATGAGGACATAAAAAGTAAAAGTGAGAATAGCCTGTATGCGATCCTGTATTCCTTAAGAACTCTGCTCTACTTAACCCTGAAAATAAATTCCTCTTCCCCAGTGACGTCAAGTCATGCAATGTGGGCGGACCTATGTGTATATAAGCCGTAAGCAACCTCTGGTCGATGCCACTCTCTCTCGCCTTCTAAAGCGTAAAAGATGTCTTTCAAAGTAAGTACTACACGTGGACTCTTGTGCATATATATATATGTGTGTGTTGTGCGTTAAATGTCATTTCGGTAATTTACAGGTTGCTGTATTCGTTTCCTTAATGGCTGGTGCCTTAGCTGACTCTGGCCCTAGATACAGTCCTCCAACACCTTCCTACAATCCTCCCGCTCCTACATACAACGCCCCTGCACCCGCCCCTTCGGTAAGTTGTTTAATAAATCGTGAGAAAGAGTTCTTTAATGGCAAAGCTAGATCATTAAATTTTACATGTCTAATTGTTTCCCTCATTTTTCTTCATCCTTCCCTAATACTTTAATGACTACTGAAACGGGATTAATTTTTTCGTTACTTATTTTTTGTTCTTCCCTAAACTAGGGACCTGCCCAATACGACTTCAACTATGCTGTGAAGGACGACTACTCTGGAAACGACTTCGGTCACCAAGAAAGCCGAAATGGATATGACACTCAGGGTACCTATTATGTCCAGCTTCCCGATGGTCGTCTGCAGACGGTGACTTATACCGTAAACGGCGACTCCGGTTACGTAGCTGAAGTTTCTTACCAAGGAGAAGCCCAGTACCCAGCCCAGCAGCCTTCTAGGTCCTATCAACCCGCTCCTGCTCCATCCTACCAGCCTGCCCCCTCCCCATCCTACCAGCCTGCTCCCACTCCTGCCTATGGCTAATCTTTTATAATGACATCGAAGATCCTCTAAAGCAGGAATGAATTATATGTATATGATTGTTAATAAAATATGCTTTAAATAGTAAAACGTATTTCAGATGCCGCGATGAACCTCCTTCAATGAGTGGAAATTGTGATAGTAATAATCTTATATCGATAAAAAGTAAGCAACACTTAGCACATCAGCTATTAAAGAACAAAACATTCAAAGAAGTAATGGTCATGAAAATTATAACTAATGGGAAAATTATTATTGAATCTCGTTTTATGATAACGATGTTGATAGTGATAGTGATAAGATAAAATGTAGGATTATATTAATATTATCTTTGCTATTATCGTTAACATCCATCTAAAATACGCAAACACGGTTTTATATATAAATGTATATGTGTACATCTGTGAATATGTATAGTACATACACATATATACACAGAATCACGCACTTTTATATACATGCGTAAATTATATGGATATATAGAAGTATATATATTCATATACATGCACACAAACATGTATATTATATATGTGTATATACATATACTATGTATGTTTATACTTATATATACAATATCTATATTGATTTATAATTAATTACATTTATATACCTACATTTATATATATATGTACATATATATTAAAGAACCACACACACATACTGTATATATATATTCTGGTGTACAAGTCTTTGTTTGAAGCCTAGAAATAACTCTCCAAAACTAGGGGCCGAATTATACGCCAAATATTAAAAATAAACCTCTAGCACTATGCTTGCCTAACACTCTTTGTATAATATTTCCCACAACTCGCAGCCCACCACAATTAATTCCTATTGAAACTGTTTAGTAATCTATTTAACGTAGATATAATAATATCAATGACTTAACTCAATGGGTAGTTTAATTTTGTTAAGGTTAGGTTAGGACATATATGCACAAATTATTTTCGTCTTATCGGACAATGTTATTTTACTAGATAGAATTATGCAGTATTAGTCTTGTTTCACGCATTTAGGGCTGTTATTTAGCTTTTTTTTGACGTTCATGATACTTATTGACTTTTTTTTGTGCTTGACTAGAATTTTCCTATACTTATTTGGGTATTTTTCATTAATTCTACTTAACAGTTTTCTTACCCACACTATGTTCTAATTATTATTCTGTTTATTTACAAACTAGTGAATTACTCTCAACTACTCTTTCTCTCTCTCACATGTACATACACATACATACATAGATATATAAATATCCATAATGTACAGTATAAATACATACTCATATTTATACATACATCAATATATATTATATATATATATGTATGTACACCAACACAGACACATATACATACAGATATATGTGTGTATGTGTATATGTAATATATAAATGTGTGTGTCCGCGCGCGTGTGTGTATGTTTATGCCTATACAGAGAGGCAGACTGATAAGAATATTGATAAATGCAGGTTGGAAGAGACTATAGAGCACACAAAAAAGCAGAAGGAAGGAAATGAAAGGACAAGAGAAGAGAAAACAAGAAAAGTTACAGCGCAATTGGCCTTTTTTATCATAAATCTTCACTGGCAACTTCAGTCAACTTGAACTTCATTCCCAGTGACGTTACGCAAGGGCTTGTGGGCTGATCTTCGAGTATATAAGCCGCAAGCAACCTCTGTTCGGTACCATTTTCGCTCTTCCAAGACGTAGGCAATGTCTCTCAGGGTGGGTTTCCTATAAGAAAAATTATACTTGCAAGATGTTTTTCTAGCTACATATCTAAAAAGGTTGTTGTACAAGAAACAAATGTTCTTTTTATTTACAGATTGTTGTATTTGTTGCCTTAATGGCGGGTGCCCTTGCTGATTCTAGCCCTAGATACAGTCCTCCTACTCCTTCCTACAATCCTCCTACACCCACATATGGCGCCCCTGCACCTGCTTCGGTAAGTTGTTAATGGCTTGGATAAAATTAAAAGAACTCTAAGAACTACAGATTTTTTTTTTTTTTTTTTTTTTTTTTTAAGGATTATTTTCGTTACTTAATTTTTGTTCTTCCCTAAACTAGGGACCTGCCCAATACGACTTCAACTATGCCGTGAAAGACGACTATTCTGGAAACGACTTCGGTCACCAAGAAAGCCGAAATGGATATGACACTCAGGGTACCTACTACGTCCAGCTTCCCGATGGTCGTCTGCAGACGGTGACCTACAACGTGAACGGCGACTCCGGTTACGTAGCTGAAGTTTCTTACCAAGGAGAAGCTCAGTATCCAGCCCAGCAGCCTTCTAGATCTTACCAGCCCGCTCCCTCCCCATCCTATCAGCCTGCTCCCACCCCTGCCTACGGCTAATGTTTTATAACTAATAATTTATATCGGATTCCTTATGAAATATGTGAATGCCTGTAAATAAACTATTGATATAATACGGTATTATTTTTATCTTCACTGAAATGATTTGAAGTTTACTTTCATCGAACGCAAAAAAAAAAAAAAAAAAAAATAAAAAAAAAATAAATAAATAAAAATAAAAAATAAAGAAAAAATTAAATAAAATATAAATAGGAAAGAGAGAGATAGACAGAGAAAGAGAGGGAGGAAACAGCTTAGTCAGAGTACACAAACCCATCGGGATTTTACTTAATAATTCTCTTTGTAAATAGACCCATTTTCCATGAGTGTGAGCAAACCTCTACTTTAGAATGGATAACGATAATAATAGGGATCGTAACAATATCACCAAATAGTAATATTAATGCTGACCAGATAAGAGTACAAACCTAATTCTAGGTCGAACATATGCCACCAGTTTCTTGCCATTGAGAGCGGATTGTAGAGGGGGGGGGGGTATTTTCCCAGTGCTGTTCCAGTTCTATTAGGAGGCTTTAGCATATTCAGTGTTATATTATCCATGATCACAAAAAAAAAACAAAAAAAAACTTTAATGGTGTGTGAGCCTCCCTAACTGATTTCTTGTTTGTCTCGAGTGCCATATATTTCCTAATATATAATCTAGAGTTCCTTTTTCTTTTGATTTCAGTGATATAACCTTGATAGTTTGTATGATTATATGAATAAACTTGAAATGTGGGCGGTACTGTTACATTTTGGATAAAGTTGAAGGTGCTTAATGACTGAAATGCATTTTTTTTTCTTTTTTTTGTGTTCTGATTATTCTGTACTTACAGAGGCTGGTTCAGCTGTTAGCAATCTTGGTCTTTTGACCCTGCCTCCCTCTTTTTGTGTATATTTTGGGCAATGAACTTTGGCTTTCATATTTACTGCTGTTGCTATCATTCACTCAAAAAATATTAATAAACGGGCTTATATTATCAATGATTAAATTCCATCTAGGAAAGTATGCTAAATATATTGAGAAGACCTGGAAACTAATTTTTTTATCATTTTTTGTGAGATTCTGGCATAATATATCTATTTAAATGTATATGCACACACACACACACACACACACACACACACACATATATATATATATATATATATATATATATATATACATAATATATATATATAATATATATATGCATATATATATAAATATGTATATATACACATATATATGTATATGTAAATTATACATATATCATCATTTATATATATATTCATATATATATGTATATATATTCATATAAATGAATAGATAAATAAGTATATCTGAATATTTATGCATGTGTATATACACACATACACATATGTGTGTATATATATATACATATATAAGTATATATATATTAAATATATGCATACATATATATATATATATGTATATATATATATATATATATGTATATATATATATATATATATATATATATATATATATATATACATACGCACATATGTGTGAGTGAATGTGTATGTGTACACACACACATACACACACATATATAGAAATATATATACATACATATATACATACAAATATACATACACACAGACATATATATATATATATATATATATATACATATATAAACATATATGTATATATATATATACATTTACATATATGCACACACGCACACACACACACACATATGCATATGTATATATAAGTATATATATATGTGCATGATTATGTATATATATATATATATATATATATGCACGTGCGCGCGCGTGTGTGTGTATGTGTGTGTATATATGCGTGTATACACACACACACACATATATATATGTATTAGTAGTTATATTTATATAGATGTATATATAAATGTATGTTTGTGTGTGTGCCAGCTAAAACGTTTATATATATAAATGTATGTACTTTGTCGATTTCTTTCATACATCTGTATATATTGTGTATACATATATACACTTATACACATACAGATACATACACACTGACACACACACACATAAACACTGACACACACATATACACACACAAACATATATATTTATACATACATGAATATATATGTATATATACACATATATCTCTATATACTTGTATCTAACTTTCTGTCTATTTACGTATGTGTACGTATATATATATATATATATAGAAAGAGAAAGGAGAGAGAAAGAAAGGAAGGAAACAGGTATCACCAACTCTCAATTTCTGCTTATATTACCGCTACTGTTTTACCTTCTCAAATGTGCCTCCGACGCGACCTTTCCATTTTCATCTCAAATGACGTCACAACCTGCAATGAGGGCGGAGTATTGCATATATAAACTGCATGCACATGAGACAGTATCATTCATTCCTTTCTTCCAGTCTTGCAAAGATGACTGCAAAGGTAAGTTAAAGGCATGTTTAATTGATACAATGGAACATGAACGTATTTTAAACTTTAATTTGTTTTCATACTCTTCGTTCACTCGCAGATCGCCGCCCTTTTTGCCCTCATGGTGGGCGTTCTTGGTGACTCTGTGCCCTCATACAGTCCTCCTACTCCATCCTATAACCCTCCTGTTCCTTCCTACAACGCGCCTGCACCTGCCCCTACAGTAAGTCTAACTATATAGTTTTTGGTAAATAAGTAGTCGATTACTTACTTTGGTAGTATTTTAATATACATCTGGGTCACTGTAAGATCATTGTTTTCCATCTCTCAATCAGGGACCAGCACAGTACGACTTCAATTACGCCGTGAAAGACGACTACTCCGGCAACGACTTCGGTCACCAAGAAAGCCGAAATGGATACGACACTCAGGGTACCTACTACGTCCAGCTCCCCGACGGTCGCCTGCAGACAGTCACTTACAATGTAAACGGCGACTCCGGCTTCTTAGCTGACGTATCCTACCAGGGAGAGGCCCAGTACCCAGCCCAGCAGCCTGCTAGATCTTACCAGCCTGCTCCCACCCCATCCTACCAGCCTGCTCCCACCCCATCCTACCAGC